AAGTTGCTATTGAGTGGACCCTTTTGTAAACTGACTCTGCTCTCCCTGGGCCTAAAAGACCAACCTCAGGGGCCAGCTCCTGTCTGGGTGAAACGGCATTGCAGAGGCTGCCTACAGCAACCTCAGTCATGGGGAGCCAGGAGTCACCCGAGCCCATGGGTAGAGCTCCATGATATTCCTGTCCTGCCCCAGGATCCCTTACAGACACCTGGGGACACCCATTGGTAGATGGCAAAGGACCTTGAGGTCAGATCTCTCTCCTGTGCATGCACTGTGTCTGTATGACACCCCTGTGTCCTTTTCCTAACATCATTTCTGGAGACATCACCTGTGCTCCCTGATGCCCCAGAGAGCTCCCAGCCCTTCTCCCTTTCTCTCGAGATCCACTTGGGGAGACCCAGACATCAATCCATGCCTCCTCCCCAGCTACTGGATCCACACTTCAAGCTGTCCAGATGGCACTGTGGTAGCACCGCTTCCCTGAGCCAGAAGGGAGGAACCAACTCACCTAATAAACAAGGATGCACAGCCTTCGACATCGTTCTTCCCAAAAAGTCCTCCTCATGAAATCTCCCCCAGGTCACTTTATATTCCACTCTTGAAAAAAGAACTTTTTAAATGAATAAGCCCAGCTCTTCAGGATCTCCCTCAGTATCTTTCTATGTTACGAGACACGATATCTATGTCTTAAACTGTATTAACAAACATTTCCAAAAAACTAATATTCAGCTATGTCATCATTGTGTCATGCTCAGGATTATTCTTGAGAAAAATATTTCCCTGAATGAAACATAAGAAAGACCAGTGTCACTGCTCTAAGGAGATACCTTGACCACACAAAATACTGCAGCTAACTAAACCCATAGGTGTGGCTCATCCTTAGCAAAATTCTGGGAGACATGCTAGCATCTACAAACAACAAGCAGATTGGACCTGCACAGTAGGGAATGCTCCTTCTGTAGTGATTCTGGGTCTCCTCTCTCTTACCACTTACCAACACTGTGACTATTCGCCACTGCCTCCCCATTAGACTGAGAAGTTTTAAAGAACACACCTGTAATTTACTCATCTTGAATCTTAGCACACCGACCAAGGTTCAACAATAAGCAGGCACTAAAGAAATGTTAACTCCGTGGAATCAAAGTATTTCTCTTTTTCCATACTTGCCTCTGATCCATTTCCTACACTGAGGTACTCATGGCTGAAAGTTTAAGTATCATCTTCAAAGGCAAGCCTGTGGAAACATGGAGCTGGAAGTGACTCTGAGGGGTTCGTCTATCTCTGTCCCACTCTCTAAAGCCATGTCATGAATAGGGTATGTCAACCAGAAAGGATCATCCAACCCTGGTCCATTTCTTTCACCTGTGTCCAGATGTCTTGATTTCTTCCTCGGGATCACAACACATAGAAGGTCATTGGTACAGAGTTCTGTGTGGGTTTGTTTACTGATCATTATTTGCTTGAAAGAGTTCCTTCTTCAAGCTAGTTTTCTACCTAATTAATAAAGGTTTCTGGGTCTTGCAGGACAGGATAAGGCAAGGCTGGATTTCTCTAAGGAAAATGAACCTCAGACTGGGGAGAGGTTAGGAAGCTCCAGAGAACACCATGTGCACAGCACAGATTCTCTTCTCTAGAGACCAATTACTTTCTGCACTGTTCACCAAGTCCTCCTCTTGCTTTGTGCAGCATTCCATTCATCCCTCCAGCAAAGCATTTCCATGCACTGTGTAGGTAATTCACAAGTGTCATCCCCATGAGACCCATGGCTCTTTCAGGGAAAGAGTATTGTTTTATTTTCTATTTAGAAAACAGTTAAGAGAATAGTTTGCACAGATTCTGATTAGACAAAATATAAGCTTTGTCTGCCCAGAGTCCACCTTCAGATAACCTTTAGAACTCTGCTTGTCTTTCTAGGAAGCCACTTCAGTGTGTGAGCTGTGTCCATGGGCCAAGGCAGTTAGAGTAATGCTCTCTCATGATCCCAGTGATTCAGTCAGCTATAGATAGCTGATCTGACCAAAGCGAGGCAATACCATGAGGCTTTCGCTTAGATTTCTGAGAAGCTTATTTTAAACCCAAGAGGACATAAAATCTGATTCATCAACAGCTTCCTTTATATAATAAGAAGAGCAACATTTGTCTGAGAATGATAGTAATTGAAAGAAAATGAAAGAAAAAGAGAGATTAACATTATTTGAATCTCTGAACAATACTAGATCTTAAATCAGAAATATTCCTATACTATTGCATATTTATCCAGTTGCATAAGGTTATGTATTGTGTTTTGAAGCAAAGTAGATCAAACTTTTTTCACTCACAATCCAAGTAGTCCTAAAAGATTAATCTTTTCAGAAAATAAGCTTATATTTAGAGTAAGTTTATATTTTTACCTTACCAGAAACACTAGCAGTAATATTTGAGAAGTCTGTTTACAGACCTGGGTGATCCACAAATAATAACATATATCTCTTTCACTTACAGCCAGGCCCTTGAGAGACAAAATTCACATCTTTTCTCAAGGAGCTCACAGTTTTAATAGGAATTAGATTCTAATCATAAGGCATATAAAGAAACTACACATGGGAAGAATGTTATGAGAGCTTAAATAAAAGAAGAATCACTTATTATTTTTGAATGGTTTTCTTCATTTATAGTTACAAAATCAATGAGCAGGTTAGGTGGGAAGATGGGTAAGAAAGAGGAGCTTTACTCCTACTGCCTGTCTGTTAGCATCATTGAAAGCTTTGGAACACTGCTGACATAAGGACCCCAACTCCAAAGCAAGCAAAGTTGTTTCTGCTGGATTTGGGCTCCAGACATTGATATTTCTGCAAGATGCAGAGATTCCTGCATGCACCAGAGTTGCCAGTTACCTGCCATCTGTGCCGGTGATGGGAATGACACTTTGCCCTGGTATACAGCCCATCCCCCAGGGAGCTTACGAAGAGTACAAAGCCAGGGCTCCACCTTGACTCCCTGATCCAACTGGCCTAGGAGAAGCCCAGATGGTTTTGGAGTTCCGCTGAGGTCGGAAATCGCTGGTGCACAGTGGGAGCTCGTTGTTGTGGCAGTGCTAACAAGTCCTGCTAGGAGTGCTTATAAACTGATCTCTTCTGTTCTTCATAAACACCTTCTGAACCAGTGCAACCACCGCTGTATGTATAAAGAAATAGACATTCTGAAAGGTAGGATAACTTGCCCACTGTGACCTATGTAAATAATGGGAGCTGGAGTTTAAACTCAGCCTTGTCTGCCTCCACTAATTCTTGTCCATCCGCTCGCTTATTGTTGGTTAGGTTCTGTTGTTCTTTCAGTAAGTTTTAGAGAAAATATGTGGCTTAGCTTCCAAAATATAAAGTATCTCTAAAAATGATTAGTGACCAAAAAGAAGCCACCCACCTGCTTAGGGACATTGCCACATAGCCACACACAAAAGATGCATCCCTGTGGAAGAGAACAGCTTTAAGTCACTCCCAGGACCTCAGGCTGGGAATAAAATGCTGAGTATTCAAAGCTCCTTGCTTCGGAAGACACATGGTGCCTGTACCTCCACAGAAGCACAAGTCCACATAAATCATACGATGAGAATTCCATTTCAGCTCTTTAATCCAAAGGGCAAGCTATATGCAAATTTGTCTGACCCCTCCCCACTCAAGTGAGTGGCATATGGAGAGCACGTAGGGTTTCCTGCTGGCGAAGACAGAGGGCAAAAGGCAGTGGGAGAGCAAGATCTGCCTCTTGGGCACAAGAGTCTCTCTGTCTATCTCAGGCTCAAAAACACTCTGCCCTTTGTCATCAAAGCAGCTAGGGCTCCCCACTGCAGGACTGGAAAGGTCTGTCATCTCAGCAGACAAAGGTAGCAGCCAGTGCCAGGGGCAGCGCGGCAGGTGAGGGAGAGGAGGATGTACCGTTGGCCCCCTTTGCCGGCCTCCTGGGACAGGTGTCTCCTTGCTGCTTCCAACCTGATACCTTCCACCATCTGTCCTCAAGTGCTGGAATCCAAGCAGTGCTGCGCTCATCTTGCTGTTCAAGCACCAGATCTTTTGCCCAGCAGACTGCAAGCCACAGGTTCTGCCTCATCACTTGCTACTGCCCAGGGTTAATGATGCTTCGGTGTACACAGCAGGTCCCTCTCTTGGATCTTCCCTCCCAGAGTTCCTTCCACTTGCAATCCTCCTAGCTTCCTTCTATTCAGGAACACCTACGTAGTTTTTAACTCTGCTAGACTTCCTGCTGGTACTGGTGAACAGATTGACTTTATAGTTTTAATAAAAAATTATCACTTCCAAGTCAGACTTCCTGATGTTCACTTATAATCATTGTACTCTGGGAGGCTGATGCAGGAGGATCATAAGTTTGAGCCTGGCAACTTAGGGAAATGTGTTCTCAAAATAAATTTTAAAAGTGGCTAGAAAAGTATCTCAGTATTAAGCAATTGGCTTTAATTCTCAGGATTGTAAAAGGTTTTTTTTTTAAAGAAAAAAGATGATTTCCTCCTTACTTTAATAATTCTATGAATATTGCACTCACCTCAGGGATTCAGCATTAAATATGCTATATATAATTTGCTTCCATTGAAAACTAGACCAGGAAGTTTTCCTGAAATCCACATTTGTTCTCCACACCCCTCATCTGTGCTCCTGAATTTCCACACCAGCAGTTGTCAAAGGTTAGCATGCATCAGGACAGCATGAAGACACTGCTTGCATTCACTTTTCTGGGTCTGCCCTCTGGTTATAGAAGGTCTTGCAATGCTTTTCCAGTGATGCTGGTGCTGCTAGCCCTGGGATCACACTCAGACTTGCTGGTCCCCACTGACTCAAGCATGTGTGGTGAATAGCTTCTTAGTGACTCCACCACCTCCCCGCTCACTCACTCAGCCCAGAAGACAATGTCAGACACTGAAAACTTTTAATAAGTCAATCCAAGTACAGCTTTATCTACTCTTGGATGACAAATTACCCCAAGATTTAGCTTAAAATGACACATACTTATCAGTGTATAGTTTTTATTAACCAGGAATTGGGAGTATCTTAGCTGGAAGGTTCTGTTTCAATATCTCTTAGGATGTTGCAGCTATGCCATTGGATAGGGCCTTAGCCTATCCACTTTAGAATCATAGAATGTCCAGTGAAAGCTGAAAAGGAAGAGGGTCCCCATCGTAGCTAACACATGAAGTCTCAGTTTCTGCTTGGTAGTAGCCAAAAACTCAGATCTTCCCATGGACTTGACCACTGATGTCTTCCAAACATAGCAACCAGCTTTCCCTGGAACCAATGATCCAGAAGAGACAGTAAACCACACCCAGGATGAAGGCCATAGTCAAAAGCTTAGAAAATATCACTTTTGCCATATACAATGATGCAGGGAAACCTTCCTTCATCATGGAAGGGGAAGATAGGATGGTGTGACTGCTAGTGTATGGATCACTCATCCAGGAGGGTACCACACATGATATTGGCAGGAGGTGGAGGTGTGCCTTTTGTGTAGAGTGTCTAGGAAAGACCCTCCTGAGGGGATGCTGCAAAAACTAAGGCCTCAATGAGGAGAAACAGCCCACTGTATAAAGAACTATGTGAAGAAAAGTAGATAGTTCCAGGCAGAGGAAGGTAATGGCCCCAGGATGGAAATGAGCTCAGTATAGTGCTGGAAGAAAAACAGCAGGCCAGTGGCCATCATGCAGAGGGGTAGCTATCATTACCAACATCAGCACCAGGGCTACTTTCAAGCAGTCACTTCATTCAGGGTCTCGTTGGCACTGTGAAGAAGGAAAAGTACATTTCTGCTAACTTCAAGAAACTGACCTTTCTGTCAAAGAAATCCACCTTTTTTCAATTAGTGAAATGTGAAAAACGTCTGGATAATTTAGCTACAATACATTCCCATTACCACACCTGCTATTTCTCCCTGTGTGAGTTCCAATTATGTTTCATCAACCCACGAGCAAGAATTTGAGAAAAAGAGTACCAATTAATTGAGTGAAGCAAAGGCTATGCTTTATATTTATCAAATTTAATGAGCCAAGACCTTTCCAACCTGAAGTATGCACAACCTGGAATTATGGAGTGGCAGAAGACATCTCAGAGGTCAGTCCATCCTTCCTCTTCACCTTAAACTTGATCTCGAGCCAGCAAGCTACAGAAATCAGCTGAAGGCCTCATAGCTTTTTCAAAAGTCCTCCACCCACTAGTCCCATTCATGAATGAAAGGCACACCAATCACAAGCAAAGTGCTCAGAGCAGCAGAGAAATGGGTTTAGGATGTCAGGGTCAGCATGCTCTGCACAGCTGGCTGGAACCCAGAGGTTGCCTTTGGTAACTGGGAGAGGAAATAGGGAAGGGAGAGAAGTGGCTGAGAAGCAGCCTTCACAGCAATGCTGCTTGCACTTACTTTACCTGTAGGATTTTATAAATAATGTTTCTGCCACAGGAAGGCCAAAACTCACTTCTCGGCACATCGTTCCTCTCCTGACAGTCAGGATCAGCAAACTGTGTCTTGGGCCCAACCCGCTGGCTGGTTTTCTATCACCTGTGCATCAAGAACAATTTTTATGTTTCCAAATAGCCAAGAAAAAAGATCAACATAAAATAACATTTGTTATTTTATGCAGACCTCGCTCTGCACAAACAAAATTGGATCACCATCACACCCATCCATCTCTGTGTTGCCTGGGGCTACTTCTCTGCTTCGGTGGCAGAGCTGTGTCTCTTGGACAGACCCTGTGGCCCATAAGCACAAAGCATTTACTAATCACCCACTTAGAGAATTGTCTTCAGGCCCCTGGTACAACTCCTGGTCCAGTGTACCTAGATCCCGCTTCCAGGCCTCCCATCTTTCTCATTCTCCTCTCTTTTCCAGCAAAGCTTCACTGTAAGCTTGCATTCACAGTATAACTGGCTGTGAGCCATAGGCCTGGCTTTTGATACTAGGGTAATTGGGTTTATGATTTACAGATACTTAAAACTTCAGTCTCAGCTTCCTGACTCAAACCACTCAGACTCCATCTGCTTTCCTAGTAACATCCTGTATCAGTACAGCAGGAGACACAGTGCATAGCTCGCCAGTTCCACCCACAGCAATGAAAGAATCTGCTAAACGATATTAGCTGCTCTTTTCCTGTCCCCAAGGCCCATGAGACCCTGGGCTACAGAAACAGCGGAGCTAGAACACATAAATGACTCCACCATTCACAGCCACCTGAGCTCCCAAACAGCTTGCTAACCAGGCAGAAATAGAAAGAAGCAGCTGAAGGAAACCTCACTTTGCTTGCTATTGGAGACACAGTTTGCCAGGAAGGTTCATTGCTAGAGTAACTGGGCCTGAAGTAACAGAGGCCAAAATCTCTTATATGCATCAAGGGTGCACTAGACAGTGGGGTGTATTTTCAAGATGGTTTTTCTCAATTCTGGCCAGTTATGCAAATTAAGACCATATTAAGGTATCTGTTTATACCTAGCAAATAGTTTGAGACAAATTTTAGAATTCCATAATTCAGCATCTGTAACACTGCAGGGAAAAAGAACACAAATACTCTGAAAACATTATTTTCAAGAACAGACCAATTAAAGTGAATCAATACATTTTAAAGCCTGTTTTGAGCTATTATAACTGGACACCTGACACATGGATAATTTATAATGACCAGAAATTTATTGCTTACAATTCTGAAAACTGAGTAGTCCCAGATTGTGGGGCTAGCAGCTGACAAGGCCCTTCTTGCTACATTATCCCAAGGCAGGAGGTGAAAGAGCAAGAGCGAGAAAAAGAAACAAGAGAAGAGATGAGGGGAGGGGAGGGGAGGGGAGGGGAGAAGCAAATAGTCCCTTCTGTGAGGAGCCCAGTCACAGTAAAAAACCCCGTCCCCTAGGCTCTGCATAAATGCCTCCCGGAGGGTGGAGCCCTCCTTACATACTCTCTTGTCATAAGCTCCTCCTCCCAACATTTGTGCTGTGGATTAAGTTTCCAGCATATGATTTTTAAAGTAGCATAGGCTAAGATTGAAGGACATTTTCAAACCAAACTCATAGTTGTACCTTTAGAATTCTCTTGGCAACTCATTTTAAGGCACAGATTTTGAAAAAAAAAAAAAAAAAAAAAAAAAAAATATATATATATATAAACTTGCACAAAGAAATTCATTGCAGCATATTATTTAAAGCAACCAAAACAATCCCCAAATCTTAAATATCTGAAAAGACATTTCGATTAATTAAATTCCTGTAAACTACAAAAATATTTTGCAGTCATTTGAATGATCCTGTAGCAATGCAGGAAGTTCCTTTGTACATGTGTAAAATAATATTCAAGTAGAAAAATAGAAGAGAACATTGTACATAGGTTGCAATTAATGTGAGAAAGAATATGCAAACAAAAAGTAGGGCCTTTCCCACAGTTCTTTTCTGTAAGGATGGGGAACACATGGGCAAATATTTTTCCAGTGTCCATGAAAATTGTGGTAATAAGAAACCCTTTATTTTACTTACAAGCTCACATATTTTTAAAAGAAGAATAAGAATCCTTTTCTGGTCACTTTTAGGGGCTCTGAGCAGGAGCCCTGCGTGTGCGTGGTGGTGGATGCTCTCTGCCGGAGTTGCCTCTCCTGTGAAGCAGCCATCCTGGGAGAAGCAAGCTGGGTTCTATCTGCAAACTCAGGTAATCGTGACATCAATAGGATGGATGTCCCTGATGGGAGGCAGAGACAGGGCCACTGGGTGAGTGACGCAGCAGGGCCAGATGGTATTTACTCAAAGGCTCATTTATTTGGATCAACGAATGTAGAAATAGCAGGGACTCTGACAAGGACATGTGATACCTCATTTCCTGGAAGATTAAGAAGCTGCAGACACAGTATCTGTCCTCTGAGGAGAGCCAGACGAGGACAGAATGAGGCTCAGAGGTGGCCGAGCCCTGACAGAGCCCAGCTTCCATGCGACCAACAGAGCCTGAGAGAAGTTTGCCTGGAGTTTCCTGTTCAGCCGTAGCTCCTCATGGCCTCTCCCCTCAAAACATACGTTGAAGTCCTAACTGCAAACACTTTAGAACGTGACCTTACTTGGAAATAATCATCATAGACATAACAAGGGAAGGGAGGGTCTGACTGGCGGAGGTTGGGCTCCCAGTCTGATAAGATTGGTGTCCTTTGAAGATGTGGAAATCACGCACAAACACCAGCACACAAAGACATAAAAATGTCGAAGGGAGCATGGCCCGTTTAAGCGTTTTATTTTAAACTTCTCATCTTGAGAAAGATGAGACTATTATTTGAAGCCAACATGTTCATAGGGCTCTTCCAGCCTGGTCTATAGCATACCCTCCAACACTCTTGTGTCTAGGGAGTGAATTTGAGCAGGTCACTTGTCCTTGCTTACATTTTAAATTTGCTGCCCCTGGTCACAACCTGAGTCTTACTGAAACAGAACCGAAGTAGAAAGAACATGGAAACTGGAAACCCAGCTAAGCCCAAAGGAAGGTGAACAAAGCAGTGTGCAGGGCATTTTCTCCGCAGAGCGTCTCATAATAGTTTAATCATGGAGGCATGAACTTGAGGTGGACTGTGGCACCCAGGCATCCATGCGTTGTGTGGGTACACAGATTGGGGAGGTGCATGGACTCACAGATTCAGTCCCAGGCACTCCCTCTAACAGCCATGATACCTTCATTAGTTATTTAATTTCTGCGGACCTCAGTTGCCTGAATTATAAAATGAGCGAAATGATAGTTCCTATCTCACGGATCTATGACAAGGAGTACTTACAAATTGCTTAGACTTGAACAAGCACAGGATACACATGTAATGAGCATCACATCCACCCATGTCGCTTATCACACTTCATCTCTCAACTATTCTACAGCATCGATTTTATCAGGTTAGTTGTAGATAAAGACACGGGGCTTCCAGAGGCTAAAGAGCCCATGTAATGTAATGTAATGCATCAAATAATTCAGCTGTGGCAAGGAGGAGTCAGTGGAGGACAGAGCCAGAATGAGGCACCAAGTCTGATGTCTCCAGACGCTGTCATGGGTCCCCAATTCAGAAGGCAGATTGCCCCCCGCTGATTTATTTTAGACCTAGACCAGTTGTGGCAAACCTATAGCATGCCCAGCCATGGGCCATTTTTGTCACTGGAAGCTCGAAAAGTTTCGCTATCGCTGTCTACGCAACAGGGTTAAAGTACCTGTGAAACTGCCTCACTGAGCCATTTTGAGGAAGGCATGTGACAAGTGTGTTTGTTCTGTCATTAAAACAAAACACAATGCCTTTGCCATGATAAGGTATCATAAGACAAGAATAATACTATTACAAGGTAATATTACTACATGATTTGTAGTTTGCCAAGTTCCTAGAAAAGAATACAAAACATTCCTTTCCCTGATGAAAATTTATGCCAAAATAGAAGAGGGAAAGAAGATACAAAAGAGAGGACCATCGCTATGGTCAAAGACCTAAAAATAAACCACCCTCTATTGACTCAGTAAGGGACTACAGAAATAGAACACGAGCTGCTTGTTGAAGGAGGGAGGGATTTCTCCTGGCAGAGAAGTTCTCTGCCACAGGCACACGAATGCATAAATGGACCTCCTCTCACACTGGAAGTTCAGTGACAGAAAGGGAAAGAGCTAGGCTGACTCAGGTCTCCTCAGGTACCATGATTCTCCATCTGCTCATAGGGTTTTCCCGCTTTGACATGTGAACCAGATCACCTTCATTCTCACTCAGCCCAGATGCTACCTCCTCCAAGAAGACTGATGATGATCCCCTAGATTGGCAAAGCACCCCTTCTCCTTGCTCCTCTTTGCTCCCAGCAGCTCCCAGCAGTGTCTCCTGCAGGTGCTACTGGGGTTTGAGAAGGGCTAGTTTTTTGTTGAGCAACTGAGTAAGACCATCTCGGGCATCCAGGGTGCTTAGTATCCATAACTCTTACTCCCATAGTATCAATGCTAGGCCCCAGCATTCAATGTCAGTCAAGAATCCCCAGTGTCAGTTCCAAGTCACTTCTTACTATTTACACTTTTCCTGAAACCCTTGTGTCGCTCGTGGCAGCAGGAAATTCCTTTAGGGTAAGGGATGATGGTCTTATCAGCTTGATTTGCATCACTAAGATCGTGGCTAGTGTCTAGTTGACAGCCCCCTTTATAAATATGTGGTGATCTATTAGGGTAACAGTTTCATTCATGGGGAAATTTGAAGGTTAACTGAGTACTGCAGATAATAAAGGACTGTTAACATGTTGAGAAACAAGAATTGCATTCTATTCAATAAAATTGCTAATTTTCTAAGCAAAAGATGGTTAAATTATCAGCAATTATATACACTGTTACAACTTTGCATATTTTCTTTAAGTAGAAATACTCTTATTTTAAATACTTTACTTTGGTCTCACCTTAAACACTAATATACATGACATAATGGATTAGAAGTACTGAATTTTTCTTAAATAAAAAATTGTGATTCTTTTCATTGGTATATATTTGTATTAATATTTACATTCATCTTGAGATATATATGTATATATATGTATGTGTATATGTATATACATATATACATACATATCATAATGACCAGCATAATATACATATACATTCTCTGGTCATTATGATTCTTAATAATTAATAACCATGTTCACTTTGAACATTAAATCCTGTGCCAGAAATAGATACAGATTTTGCAGTCAAAAGCTCTACTGAAAGTCACAGGAATGAATCATCTGTGGGCTAGAGGAGACAGCAATACTGATGGTAGTGAAAGATGGGTGTTATGGTTTGTGTCTAGATGGCCTCCAAAGCCTCATGCAGCCACGGAGGCAGCTGAGTCTAGTGTTTGTGATTGGTTCATTGTGTAGTGCTGGGATTAGAAGTTTAAGCGCTGCACCTGCCCAGGG